CTATATAGCCATGTTCTAGAGGCATTCTCTCCTGACGTTTCGCCTGCATCTATGGCAAGCATCCTCAGAGGTAGTGAGGTCTGTTGGAATTAGGACAATGGGTTTAATATCTGTGGAATGGCTGGGGTGGGGCAAGGAGCTCTTCCCTGCTGGAGCTAGGTGTGAATGTTTCAGCTGATCACCTTCATTAGCATTTGAAGGCCTGCCTGAGCCTGGGAAAATCTCTTGCTGGGAGGTGTTAATCTGTGCCTGGTTGTTTCCTCTCTGTTGTTTTGCTGTTGTAATTTTAGAGTTTTTTAATACTGGTAGCCAGATTTTGTTCATTTTCATGGTCTCTTCCTTTCTGTTGAAATTGTCCACATGCTTGTGGATTTCAATGGCTTCTCTGTGTAGTCTGACATGGTGGTTGTGAGAGTGGTCCAGCATTTCTGTGTTCTCAAATAAAATGCTGTGTCCAGGCTGGTTCATCAGGTGCTCTGCTATGGCTGACTTCTCTGGTTGAAGGAGTCTGCAGTGCCTTTCATGTTCCTTGATGCGTGTCTGGGCGCTGCGTTTGGTGGTCCCTATGTAGACTTGTCCACAGCTGCATGGTATACGGTAGACTCCTACAGAGGTGAGAGGATCCCTCTTGTCCTTTGCTGAACGTAGCATTTGTTGGATTTTCTTGGTGGGTTTGTAGATTGTTTGTATGTTGTGTTTCCTCATCAGCTTCCCTATGCGGTCAGTGGTTCCCTTGATGTATGGCAGGAACACTTTTCCTCTGGGTGGATCTTTGTCTTGACTCTCGTGGCTTCTTCTCGGTGGTCTTGCAGCTCTTCTGATGTCTGAGGTGGAGTCTCCCTTGGCCTGGAGAGCCCAGTTGAGGTGGTTCATTTCACCTTGGAGGAGGTGGAGTTCGCAGATTCTTTTTGCATGGTGACCTGGATGTTTGGGTGGATGCTGTTCAGATGGTCCAGGAACCTGTTGAGTTCTTCTTCTCCATGGCTCCAAATGGTGAAGGTGTCATCCACATCTCTGAACCATATCGTGGGCTTTTTGGTTGCTGTCTCCAGGGCTTGTTTTTCAAAGTGTTCCATGTAGAAGTTAGCTATGACCGGGCTGAGAGGGCTCCCCATAGCTACTCCATCTTTCTGTTCGTAGAATTCATTGTCCCACTGAAAGTAACTGGTGGTGAGGCAATGGTGAAAGTATAGATTTTTTTTTTGTCATTTGTGCACAGAAATTATGACTTGACATATAGAAACACCCAATGAAGTTGTTTTGGCCCTGTGTAGAAATAAAAACTCTGCAAGTTACATTGCCAGAATGTAATTTGTGTAAAGATCACATTTTAATAATGCAGATTAAAGTCATGTGTAATTGGAGGTGAGGGGACTGCTTTTGCCAGTGGGTCCCCTTCTTTCTTTGTGTGCCAGAAAGCCACTAAAACCGACTAGGATATGGCCCTTTCGGAGGTGTTTATCTTGTAATTGCTTTAGTATTGATTTTTTTAAAAACACTTCATAATTTGCCTAGGGTCTCTTGGCCCTCTTTCTTGTTCATTTCTGCTCCTGTTAATGAGTACAAGGTAGTTTATGCCTTCTTGGAAGCCTAAGTGGGAGGAAGAAGGGAACAGCATGGCACACCATTGGCAGGAGCCAAGATACTGCTATGCTCAGGTGGGCAGCCCAAATGAAGGTATGGTTCGCCAGTGGAGCAACCTAAACATGTGCTTCTACTGGAATTATCATTAGATTTGCTTCTGCAATAGTCCAATCTAAGTTTTCTTCAGGCATTATGTAAGATTACAGAGTAGATGCATGGAGGAAAGGGAATTTCGGAAGCTTCAGTTGGTCCAACGGGCAGCAGCCAGATTGCTCACCAAAGCAGCATACAGAGAGCATACAACCCCTCGTTGCATCAGCTCCACTGGCTGCCCGCATGCTACCGGGCACAATTCAAAGTGCTGGCTTTGGCCTATAAAGCCCTAAATAGTTCCGGCCCAGCTTACCTATCCAAACGTATCTCTTAGGCCTGGGTAACAACGGAAACATTTGTTTCTAAAATCGATTCGTTTTTTGGGGTTTTTTGCATTTCGTTATTTAAAATAATTACAAAATTTTCCTTTTAAAAAGTTCGATATTTACGAAATTTCGTAAATGTGAAAAAATTACAAAACATTAACGAATCGATTTCCGGAACAATAACGAATCGATTCGTTAATGGCGGACGCGACCGCGAAATACGCTAAAAAACCTCCAAAAACTTCTGAAGCTTCCCTCTCCCTCTGTTGTTGACTGTTGGTGTGATATTATAATTTTTTTTCACTAATTAAACAAAAAAAACCCATAAAACTTGCCCCAGACATGCGGAAATAATAACGAAACGACCTCAAAACAATAACGAAACGAATACAATAACGAAATACGAAGCATTTACAAAACTATTTAAAAATTCGTTTTTTAAAAAAATTGCTCCAGAATGGTTCGTTATCGTTTTGTAATTGAAAAAATTAACGAATTATTACGAATTAACGAAACGAAACCGCCCAGCCCTTGTATCTCTCTCAATGAACCATCTCAGAGATGAAGATTTTCTGGGGAGGCCCTGCTCTCAATCCAACCTCCTTCGCAAGCATGGTTGGTTGGGAAGGACAGGGGCTTCTCAGGTGGCCCCTCAGCTCTGGAACTCCCTTCCTAGTGACATCAGATTAGCCCCCTCCCCCCTGAAAAAAAAAATGAAAACTTGGGTGTGGGATAATTGATTAGTGCAATATGTGAATATGGAATGGTTCAATGATAACTGGAATGGCCTGGAATATGATACTGGATTGTATGATTTTAGTGTTCATATGTTTTTAGCAGGTGTTTTTATGTAAATGTTTTATTTGCAGGATATGTATTGTATGTAATGTCTGCCATTGAATTGGGCCTTTATGTGTGCCGCGCTGGATCTCCTTTGGGATTGTGAAGGGCAGGATATAAATATGTCAAATAATAAATAAATAAATAATAGTGATTCTACTCCGGGGGCCCTTCCACACAGCCCTATATCCCAGAATATCAAGGCAGAAAATCCCACAATATCTGCTTTGCTTTGGGTTATCTGAGTCCACACTGCCATATATCCCAGTTCAAAGCAGAAAATGTGGGTTTTTATTCAGCTGTATGGAAGGGGCCTAAATATACGAGGGGCCCTTCTACACAGCCCTATATGTTACGCTTAAGTGGAATTTAGTTTGGTCCAGTGTAAAAGACACAATATCTTTGCACAAAGGCAAGAGGAAAAAGAACAGAAAACTTTACTCTTGTCAGCAGGGTCAAAAAGCATAAACATGCAGTGTTGCATACAAAATAAACAGTGCAACAAACTTACATAGTCCTTGTAAAAATAACAGAATGCAAAGAGCATGGCTTCTTTATCTTCCTTCAAATGAGCAGCGCAAATGGTTGAGCAGAATGCTATGAGCATAAGCTCCTCCGAGCAAAAGCTGAATTGTATTCTTATACACATACAGTTATACCTCACCGGGTGTGGCTCAAATTTACTAGCTGACCTAGATTAGCAGCTGCACATAATGATTAACAGTATTGTTGGGGTTCAGCCTGAGTTTGAACTTGAACCTGATTCTCTGTTTGTTCCTCCTGATGCTAATGAAAGTATATTTACTGATGCTAGTGGAAATGTACCTTTTGATGCCAATGCTCCTGAAATTAGTGAGGAAGAAACTGCTGTAGGTTTGGAAAATGCCAATGTTCCTGAAATTAGTGAGGAAGGAACTTCTGTAGATTTGGAAAATGCCAATGTTCCTGAAATTAGTGAGGAAGGAACTTCTGTAGATTTGGAAAATGAAAGTACCAGTGTTCATGAGAATGTTTCAGAGGGAGACCTTGAACTTTCCCTCCCTTCTGCACCTGTTAACTGTAATGACAACAGAAGGGGCCAAATTTGGGAAGACAGAAGTAAATCACTCAGTTTGCGTCGATCCTCCCGAATTCAAGAATTAAAAACATTGGCTTCAAAACAGAAGGGCGGTTCACGGAACCAATTCTTGAGTTTTAATTGCAATACGCCGAGCTGATTGTCTCAGTTCAGGCATCGTTTCAGAATTGATGAAGACCTTGGCAGTTCTCCCGGTTCCCTGGCCATAGTTTGGGAAGATTTCTAGGATATCAAGTACGGTTAGTGGATTGCTAACAGGTTCCAGTATTTCCCAGTGAGGCTTTTGGTTTTGCTTTGTCCATTTAAATTCATGTTTGCTGATTTTGCTGTGGCTTTTGACTTGCATTTTCCTTTATTTTGTAACCATTTTTCTTCAATAAAAAAGGATTGTTTTTCACAGCCAAGTGTGGTGGATAGTTATCTTAGGGCCTCGTTCCCTGCTCTGGATTGCAACAAGTATAAAATTTTCTTTAACACACACACACACTTGATGTTGATCCTTTTGCAACTTACTGTAACTCTATATCCCTTCCACACAGCCCTATATCTGAGTGTGGTTTCAGATAACCCAATTGAAAGCAGATATTGTGGGATTTTCTGCCTTGATATTCTGGGATATAGGGCTGTGTGGAAGGGACCTGGGTTATCTGAGTCCACACTCAGATAATGTGGGATTTTCTGCCTTGACATTCTGGGATATAGGGCTGTGTGGAAGGGACCTGGGTTTCAGTCTGAACTTTAAAGGTGCCAAATTCTCTATCCAGCATCTCAAATAGTAAATTTAAAGTCTGGAGCATGTTTGCTATCCTATTGACCAGCCACTGCTCTTGACTTGGCTCCCAAAATCAGACTGAATTAGTCATGTTTGGTGACATTTTAAAACCTATTCTTCCATAGATGGAACTTTCCCCTCCATAAAACGACTCTCCACACGTATGGGGAGAAGAGGTGACAGGCCGAGCCTGCTCGTGCTTGATTTCCTTTGTTGTGTATTTCTGTTCTAGTCTGATTTAAGTCCGGAGAGTGCTTCAGTCCTAACTTCCTCCTCAGTGCTGAAGGTTTCTGCTGTTTTGCGACAGGGTCTACAGCTCGGGACTCGTGAACTGGAGGAGATGGGAGCCAAGTTCTGCCTCGGACTCCTGGTCCTGCAGCTTAAATCGTTGCCCTGCAGCCAGAAGGTGATGGCTCATGCCGCCACTCTGCTGGACGTAGAGGAAGAAATCACCGACCTCCGGGCACAAAGGTCAGAGCAGCAGCCATTCATTAAAGGAAAATGACAGTGGCATCTTGTGTTTTATTGATCGATCGTGTAATATTTGCTCCGTGTTATATCGGCCTTACAGTAGTACCATGATGGGAAATGTAATGGCTGGTTCAGAGAGAGGTTTCTGCCTCTAAATTAGACAAGAAGTTTGTTGTTATATCAAGGCATCAAAAGAACTTTGCTTCTGGCTACATCCACTGATGGTAGGAAGCAGTACTGGATCACATCCCCTGATGTTTCGTGGGAATTTTGTGTGAGTGGAAAGATTGTGGTCTCTATGATATTGAGCTGTGTAAAAGATTTGGTGGAATTTATCATGGATGAGGAGAGGGTGAGACTGATGTGGGATTGTACTGTCAAAGGCTTTCATGGCTGGAATCACTAGGTTCTTGTGGGTTTTTTCGGGCTATAGGGCCATGTTCTAGAGGCATTTCTCCTGACGTTTCGCCTGCATCTATGGCAAGCATCCTCAGAGGTAGTGAGGTCTGTTGGAAATAGGAAAAATGGGTTTATATATCTGTGGAATGACCAGGGTGAGACAAAGGACTTTTGTCTGCTGGAGCTAGCTGTGAATGTTTCAGCTGATCACCTTGATTTGCATTCAATGGCTTGGAAGCGCCTGGGAAATCTTTTGTTGAGAGGTGTTAAGATGTGCCTGGTTGTTTCCTCTCTGTTGTTTTGCTGTTGTAATTTTAGAGTTTTTTAATACGGGTAGCCAGATTTTGTTCATTTTCATGGTTTCTTCCTTTCTGTTGAAATTGTCCACATGCTTGTGGATTTCAATGGCTTCTCTGTGTAGTCTGACATGGTGGTTGTTGGAGTGGGCCAGCATTTCTGTGTTCTCAATTAATATGCTGTGTCCAGGCTGGTTCATCAGGTGCTCTGCTATGGCTGACTTCTCTGGTTGAAGTAGGAGAAATGCCTCTAGAAGAGCACCTGATGAACATAGCAGAGCACACCTCTAGAACATGGCCCTATAGCCCGAAAAAACCCACAAGAACCTGATGTGGGATTGATTCAGGCAAAACTCAAAGAAGCATTTCCTTCCTATGCTAGGTATAAAACTGTTTTATGTGGTTACTGTTCCAACCCCCCCCCCCTCCTCAGTAATAATAATGAGGTCATCTCCTTTATTGTCCTTAATGCAATGGTCTGGCTTAGGGACTGCTGTGTAACACCGTTTTCTCCTTCAGCATCTTACCATTTACTGTCATCTCTTCTCTGATGTCACTGCCTCAACTTATCTAATACTTCCATATGAAGGGAATATGAGAGAGATCTAGCAGAACCTTTGGGATTGATATATTGTAATATAAGTTTTAGGTTGCCCTAGTCTGATGAAGTGGAGTTTATGCTGAAATACCACATAAACCAATGTCTAAATTGACCTCATGTGTAAGGCAAGGACCAGAATTATGGATTCTGATATGTCCCATGAATAAGTCGAGGTTCTACTGACACGGGAAAGCACAAATGGCACAGCAAAGAGATTAGGGAAGAGTGGACTTTCTTCTAGGTTCTCCCAGGATAGATTAAGGTCTCACCATTTGCCACTCTATTCAAAGAGTGGTGGTGGTGGTGGTTGTTGTTGTTAATAGTTAAGATACACACTGAACTGTTGATTAATCAACAAATGTTTTTTGGGTCATTTTTTTTACTAAAATTTCTAAACCTATACATGGGTATACAGGCGCTGTAGATCCCTTCTCTTCACCCTTTCTTCCTATGATGAAGTAGAATAACATGATGATCTCCTTGAACTTGAGGGCAGATTCTGCATAGCTTTTGGTGTTCAAGGTTAGAGAGTAGGTTATTAGCTTGTTAGAATCTGACAAAGATTCTGTCCATTACATTCTCTTCTGAGGACCACCTCTTTCAGTGTGTCAGATGTCCTCCGCTGAAGCTTTGTCAGATTCTCTTGGGTGCAAGGCCAAGACATTAATCATCATCAGAGATGCTAGTTATTCAGGACAAATGTGTGAAGATAACCCAGGATCCTCTCATAAGGGTCAGAACACATCAATACTAGCTTTGTGTGGAATGAAGTTTCCTTACGTGATGGTATTGGTCTTCAGAGCACTCTATCAGACTCAGCTGGATGGTGATGCCCAGGTTGAATATATCTTTGGTAATCTCTGAAAGAATGTCTGGATCCGGCATCCTCAAACTGCAGCCCTCCAGCTGTTTGGGCCGTCAACTCCCAGAATTCCTGAAATTCCTGGGGCTTCTGGGAGTTGGAGTCCCAAACAGCTGGAGGGCTGCAGTTTGAGGATGCCTGGTTTGGATAGTTCAAGTCTATACCAGTTTTTAAATCACAGTGGACCTACCATATTTGGGAGTATTCAAGGGCTCCATTTTAGTTGAGTGTAACAAATGGATTTAGCTAAATATAACCTCCTAAAAGAGGCACATGTCTCCAACATCCTATCTGTGTTTAAGTGCAAAGATTTAGAGCCCTATTTCATGTTTTGCAAACTCATGTGATGTCCCTTTGGGAATATGTATTTGAGTTTTCTTCCCAAGGTTTCTTGAGAATAGTCTGAAGCCTTGTGGTAGCTGATAATTGGATTTTTCCAACTCTTACCAGTGTTTACAATATTTGTTCAATATGACCTAGAAAACATATTCCAGTTCTATTCCAATTATTTGTGTTTTCTCATTTTTCCTGAAATGTGTGGTGATCTATACAGTATGGAGAAATTGGGGCATGTTCAGCCTGGAAAGAAGAGAATTGAGAGGTGACACAAGAGGCAACTTCAAATATTTTGGAGGAGATGCCATGTAGGAGAGGGAGGAATCTTGGCGTTGGATTTGGTTTTGTTTTGGGGGGGATTTTTTACCACTTTGGAAGCTAAGATATGAACCATTGGATTCAAATCACAAGAAAAGATATTCCACCTAAATATTAGGAATCGTGCACTTTATGTTTTAATCTGTTATTTTTCTATGTGTTTTATTGGTTAATGGTCTTAACTGTTTTTAGGTTTTATGACTATGTTTTAAGTGGCATTGAATCTTGCCAGAGTTGTAAACCATCTTGAGTCTCCCTGCGGGGCTGAGAAAGGTGGGGTATAAATCAAGCCAATAAAGAAATACCGTATATTCCGGCATATAAGACGACTGGGCGTATAAGACGACCCCCAACTTTTCCAGTTAAAATATAGAGTTAAGACAACGCCCATGCATAAGACTACATCCGCGCATAAGACGACCCCTGACTTTTGAGAAGATTTTCTTGGGTTAAAAAGTAGTCTTATAGGCCAGAATATACTGTAATAAAGATGTTGAACATCTGGAGGTGGGATATCTATCTATCTATCTATCTATCTATCTATCTATCTATCTATTTATTTATTTACTGTGCTTATAGACCGTTCTTCTCAGCCCAGGGGCGACTCACAGCGGTGTACAACATATAGAGAATAAAGTGCAATTACAAGACATAATCTAACAACAACTAGCAATATCAAAACATCATCATCAACAACATCAACAATCACAATATCAATAATACAAATACAAAAAAGTCATTCGCGTCGTCTCATCGTTAAGCCACAATCCAATATCATTTTCCATTGTTCCGTTCCTATCGTCATTGCCAATTATTGCACTTCTTGTTCGAACGCCTTCTCGAACAGCCACGTCTTTAGTTTCTTGCGGAATATCATAAGGGAGGGAGCTAGTCTAATATCTGTGGGGAGGGCGTTCCACAGCCGAGGGGCCACCACCGAGAAGGCCCTATCTCTCGTCCCCGCCAGGCGTGCCTGTGAGGCAGGCGGGATCGAGAGCAGGGCCTCCCCGGACGATCTCAAAGTCCTCGTGGGCTCATAGGCCGAGATGCGGTCAGATAGGTATCTTGGGCCGGAACCGTTTAGGGCTTTATAGGCCAACGCCAGCACCTTGAATTGAGCCCGGTAGCAAATCGGCAGCCAGTGGAGCTGGTCAACAGGGGTTGTATGCTCCCTGCGTCCGCTCCTGTTAGTAACATGGCTGCCGCGTTGGACTAATTGGAGCTTCCGGGCCGTCTTCAAAGGCAACCCCACGTAGAGAGAGTTGCAGTAGTCTAAACGGGATGTAACCAGAGCGTGGACTACCGTGGCCAAGTCAGACTTCGCAAGGTACGGGCGCAGCTGGCGCACAAGCTTTAACTGTGCAAATGCTCCCCTGGTCACCATTTGATGCTTCTATGTGGTTACATGACGTTGCAGTAGTCTAGGCGGGATGTAACCAGAGCTACCGTGGCCAAGTCAGACTTCCCGAGGTATGGGCACAGCTGGTATTTGTCACAGTGTGCAACTGTCTTCCACTTTCTATTATTTGATTGCTTTATTGGTCATTGAAAAGTCAATATGGGCGTAATTTGCAAATATGACTACTGTGGCACATGCTTTTTGTAGAACGCCTATTTTGGAGTAAGAAGGGGTTTAGTAGAGGGAATACATAACCTTAATACCTTGTGCAAAGTTGCATTGCCTAGTAGGGTTGTGCCTTTGGGGGTAAACCTGTGTTGGATGGAGTTACACTCCCCCTGAAGCCACAGGTCCGCAGTCTGGGTGTCCTCCTGGACTCATCACTTACGCTCGAGGCTCAGGCGTCGGTGGCTGGGAGGGTCTTTGCACTTAAGACTCCTGTGCCAACTGCGACCGTACCTCGTGAAGGCGGATCTGGCCAGTGTTCGGTCCATGCCTTAGTCACCTCCAGATGGGATTACTGTAATGCACTCTACGGCTAAAATATTTAAATGACTTAGATGAAGGGTTAGAAGGCAGGATCATCAAGTTTGCAGACGACACCAAATTGGGAGGGATAGCTAATACTCCAGAAGACAGGAGCAGGATTCAAAATGATCTTGACAGATTAGAGGGATGGGCCAAAACTAACAAAATGAAGTTAAACAGTGACAAACGCAAGATACTCCACTTTGGCAGGAAAAACGAAATGCAAAGATACAGAATGGGGGACAATGCCTGGCTCGAGAG